TTGCAATATTTTGCGCTGCAATTCTTCAGTGGTCTGCTGTTGTTGCGTTTGACGCGCTAGCAAACGCTCTTCACGATCGCGCGCCTTTTCACGCGCCAGCGCCTGTCGTTGACGCTCCTTTTGCTCTTGCATTTTGCCAATGCGCTGCTCCTTTTCCAAACGCGTCTCGTTCATTTTCTCTAACTTACGTTGGCGCTCCTTTTCCAACTCTTGTCGGCGCCGCTCGACGGCTGCTTCGCGCGCCGCCTTCTCTTCCAAACGCTTTTGGCGCTCTTGCTCCAAGTCTTGCAAGCGCCCCTCGGCATCCTTGGAGGATTCGAGCAGATCCAAGCGTTTATTTTGCGCTTCAATATTTTTGATGAAATTTATCTCTTTCAACTTTTTCTCCTCATCGTGCGCCTTCTCTACTATTTGACGCAGGTATTGCTCGCGATTTTCGGCGGCGCGCTGCATTTTATCCTCCATCTTCAGGCGCTTATCCTCGATTAGCTGACGCTTGGCGGCCTTCACATCCTCAACGCGCGCCAATAGTTGCTGTATTTTAATCGTTTTCTCTTTCTGTACTTGCTCGCGTTTTTGTTGCGCGCGCGTATGCTTCGCTTGGTATTTCTTTAATGTCTCTTGCAGTGAGCGGCGTCGCGATGGCGAGGAAAGTTTTTGATGCAACTCCTGCGCGCGTCCCGGATGACGTGCCACATATGCTTGTAGCGTGGCCAAAGCTTCCTCACGCTCAACGCGTGACATTTCTGAGAGTAACGCGTGATAGCGCATTTCCAAGCTGAGATTCGGATCCATACCATCCTCACCGGCTGGTAAGAAGGGGATCGAGGAGGCATCATCGAGCAAACGATCTACCGTTTCGTTACAATCATGTTCATGATCTAGTGCCACTTCACCGTCAGTCTCATCGGTTTCGGTGTCAACATCGATTTCGGTGTTTTCCAACTCGCGTATTTGGCGCTCCAACGATTCTTGCTCCTCCACAAGCATGCGCTGATCCTCATCACAATCCGTTTCGCTGGCGAAAGTCTCTTCGCTCTCATCACAACTGGAAAGTTTGCCAGCGCCGCATGTGTTGTCAATATTGCCGCCACCAAAGTTAGCCGCTTTGGCGGTTTGCGCAATACTCTCGTAGAGATCGCCAATGGTCTTGGAGAAATCACGATTCGTTTGTATTTTGATGTCAATTTTATTCTGATCGGCGGACTCTGTGTTGTCGGCAGTTGTTAATTCATCATTTGCTGCAATATGAAATCCAATTATTAAAAAGAATATCTTTATAATTTTACAAACTTCACTTACCATCCACAACGGTCTCTGTCGAATTGGCCGCGGAATTCTCCAACGAGCCTGCCCTACCATTTTGTTTGCGTTGCGCATACTTCTCGCTGCGCATGTATTCCTTATGCAGTGAGGTCATCTTCAAACCCGTCAAATCAGACTTTTGTCGCTTGATAATCGCCTCGCGTGTTGGCACATTTGGCGCGCGTGCAGAGCTTGAGCCATTCGTTGCACCGGCGGACGCTGGCGCAACAGGAACAGCAGCATTTTTGCGTTGCGTTGGCAGTGAATTGACCTTGGCCTTGGCATTCTTTATTTCCGGACGCGTCGCACATTTCACCGGCTTGTCTACACTCTTTTGTGCCTTCAGCGCTTTGGTTTGCTTGGCGCTTGGCTGCGTTTTATTTGTGACATTATTGTTTTCCAGCATAGATCCCTTCTTGATGGCAACTTTCCTGCTCCGTTGATGCTCTTCACTTTCGGTCAACTGTTCATTGAATAGCGCTAGTGTAGGAAGACTGGCATAACCTGTGGGCTGATTAAACCGATTGGCCCAATGCATGCTGGAACGTCGTCGATTCTTAACTGTCAGCCAGCCGTCGTTGGCGTCTGATGGCAGCTGTTTCGGCTCCGAACGCCGTTCGTCGATGTGTACCACTGCGCCTGGTGCATGTAATAGGCTGTTTCTGGAGGATGATATGAGTTCGGTGCTAGCTTTGAGCGTAGAGCTTGAGCTGCCAATATCTTCACGTGAGGATTTGCGCGATGAAACCGTTGTCTGGGAATACCGTTGCGGTTGCGAGGGATGGCCGGTGCGTGGCTTCTGCTCTTTGGGTTGCATCTCAATCATGGTTCGTGAACGTGCTGACAGCCGAGAGGCAACATGTGTCGGTGGACCGTAATGTTCGGTTTTACTGGATGGACGTGGTGTTATATAACGTGCATTGGCGCTGCCTGCTGATAGTCGTGGAGGCGCAGCTTTCGTCACCGATGCGGTGGTAGCGGACCGGCGCAAACTGGTGTTGGATATAGTTTTCTCCGATGGCACAGCTTTATTTACAGCCGTTGTGTTGGCCAAAGGACGTGCCGAGTTCAATGGCTTTGTTAGATTCGAATTTGCTGGTCGCGTTGTAGCTGGCCGATTCAAAACACTGGAATATTTAAGAGGGCCATTTTGCGTCGACCCTGTTGTGGCCGATTTTTTCGAAGTGTCCGCTGGAGCAAGGCTTAGTTTAACGTCAACTATAGGTTCTGCTTTTCGTAGTTCAGTCGTTGGAGGCGTAGGCATTTTATTGGCATCTTTAGCAAGAATTTCGTTTTCCATTTGATTCAACTTTTGCACAGTCATCTCCAAAGCGGTTGGTTCGCGATTCATAGCGAAATGTGGGTCATCTGCATCTGTACCGCTAGAATCATTGCCATTTAGAGTAACGTTATTCTGCTTGCTAGTCGTGCCAATAGCCGTTCCCGAGTTTGGATCAACTTTTTGACGCAATTTTTCATTCTTCTGTTTTATTTCTTCTTCCTCATGTCGCTCTTGTTGCTGCTTAAGTATTTTTTGCTCCGCCAATTGATGTTCTCGTTCACGCTGCTCTTCATATTGTTGACGCTGCACTTCATACTCTTTCTGTTGTCGCAAACGCTCTTGCTCGGCCTGCTCAGCCATTTGCCGTTCTTCCGCTTCTCTTTGTAGCTTTATTCTTATATCCGCCAAAGTCAAATGATCGTCTTCTAGATCCGTTTGTGCATATTGATGGCATCTATTAAGCAAGTTCATTGGCTCAGCCTCCACTTGTGGCTCTGGCTGAGCATCGGTGCATTTCTTTTGTTCTGTAACCTCTGTTGTACGTTCATTACCGGCTCTGCCTTTGTTTGTGGCAAACAACTCACGAACATTCACACGCATAGCACCTTTTGGTAATGGATCACAGGCACGTAAACTTTTTCTTGGTGACGCGTTGTCACCACTGCCAGCGCCACAACATGGTGATGACTTTCCCGACGCACATGGACAGGCAGATGGACTTGATTTACCCGACATTGTAGGACTGGTCAAACTTTTAGCGCGTACACGTGGTGCTGGATTGCTCTTACGCACTTCCCATGCAAGCGATTGTGGTCGTTGTTGCAATGGGCGTGATTCATAATCCCAAGACACTTTGAACCACTCACTAAGCGCTTTAAAGTCGCGCACATAGTTCTCAAGCACTAAAATCGCCTCCTGGCACCATGATATATTCTCACAACACTCCACCGTCTGATAGATTTCGTTGACGGCACGCTGTAAATTGCCAAATAACAGCGCCCAATAACGTGCTTGTAATTCCGATTTCTTATCTCGACCCGTGGAAGCACTACGCACACGTGGTCCTGTGTTTTGCATTTTTGCAGTTCGTATCGGCGACAATGCATTCTTTAGCGAGTTTGGTGACTTCGATGGTGCGACGGGTGGTTTGCGTACATTTAGGGACGGCGAAATTTCTATTTGAGATTTTAGAAAACGAAAAATCCATAAATAATCTTAGAAATACATTATAACAATAAATACTCACTTCCAGTAAAGCTTTGACAGCCATCCGCTCGTGGTTGCTCCTCGCAAAATTGGTAGACAAGTAAGTTCTTGGCATCGCGCCCCTCACGATTCAACACCTCTTTGACTTCCATAACTCAGCAATATGCTTTGTTTAACTGTCGTATTTGTGTGTGCAGCTGTGATTTCACTAGCTTCATACGCTGCCGCTTAGCCGCCCACACACCACACCTGTGCAATATTCACTGTGTTCTAACTGAATGAATGCTAAAAATCAACTAATTTTTATGTTAAAACACGAAAAGACGTTCCAATTTCTTTAGAAAACACAGTTGGTATCAATTTAAACACGTTTAGGGAGTGTACACACCCCACGATGGCGAGACTCCTTACGGTTCTTAGCTTGTGTGTAAGTAAATGTTGATCTTCTTTACCGTTTTTTTTTTCTTTAATACAATCGTATAATTTCTGCGCTTATTGCGCAATTATATCTCGTACTATCATTAATTTAACAAAAATCTTTTAAGCTCTACATCTTTACTATTTCGAATATATATATTCTGAACACAATTTATGTTTAATTAGAAATTCAAGTTGAAAAAACAACACTATTCAAAAATTTGCACACAATTCTGATGTTCGACTTATATGCAGTTGTTCGCGATGTTTTTATATCTTTTCTTATTGTATTTTTTGGCGTTTGACAAATTTGTTTGCTAGTGTTCGTGTGTATGTGTTATATACAAAACTACAGCTGACTGAAGGGTTGCAGTGTCGGTATTTAGTATTAGATGTCAATTTACGATATCGCAAACAAAACTAACATTTTACTCGTATATGCATGTAGAAATTAAATAAAAGCGATGATCTTTCATTTCTAAATATAAATATATATTGTCACTTTACTGCCACGTAAGGATTGTAGTTAATGCCCAAAGTAAAAAATTAATATAAATAACATAGAGAAATGCTATATATTGCCATATACTCTTTCCCGCTCAATTCGTTGAATTTTCGTTATCTTAACATTTCATATATATGCGTTTATATATAGAATATATAATAAAATCAATCAGTTGTTATCACGTACAAAATAAAACTTATATAGTAATATATGACTTACAATCAAAACGTAAGATCGTAAGTTTTATTTCTTACGTGCTCAATTTTGCTTTGCTAACATGCCTTTCTTTGCATAAATGCAACCCTGTTAGAATTTGACATTTCATAAAGCAAGTGGAAAAGGAGGAACGCAAAATTTTCACACACACATTCCGTTAGTCACTCACGAAAAGAAAAGACGTGGATATTCTTATTTGCATTGTGATAGAGATTTTCCACTTAGGGGAAAATCTTTAAACAGAATCACGGCTAATAAACATTTGTTTATATAGTTTCAATTTTTATTTGATAGAAAACTAAATAGTGAAAGCAAGAAAAAGACAGTGCACACAAGCTTTTCTCTTACCCTGCTAAAGGGGTGGTGAAAAAACCGTGAACACACCAGGTGTAGATGTTTGAGGTGTAGTGCGGTGTTGTGTAGTGAAAAGGCGCTCTGCCGTGATGTCACTGCTTCACATTTTTCGTTAATTGGATCGCTTATTGTCAGTGTGCCTTTATAGCAGCGGTCGCTAACGTTTCTATATATTTCTGATTTTGTTGTGTAGTAACAAATTAATCTGTTTTCGCACATATTTATGCAAACACAAAGCTAAGTTTTTTATTAATTAAGCTGGTGGAAGTGCATTGTAGCAATTCAATTTAATTTAATAATTGAGTACAATTTAACAATTAAGTTGCAATTTAAAGTGAGATCGAGGTGACAGTTTTTATACAGTATCCATTCCACATCAGTAATTGGCGAGGACGTGTAAAAAAAGTCAGTAAAATTAGAAAATAAAGGCACGAATCGAAATTTTAACGATAAAGCATGATACCAAAGAAAGAGTTGTGCTAAAACCGATAACGACGGTAACGAATTCATAGAAGGAAGTGTGGAGTTAAGCAGTAGAATTCACAAAATATACATACATATATACGTCCAAGAAGCAAAGTGTAAGAGCAAAGTGAAATTTTATTATTTGGTTTAACGTGCCAAAGATACGACTAAAACGAGTTAGCAACACGAAAATCAACATATTCACAACATACACGTCCCTCCAAAATCAACGATTCGTAACGCTATACAGGCGATCACAACACGATTCCGCCCACAACAACCTGCCACGCCCACTGTTGAATAACTAGCCGCCGTATAACAAACACAAAACGGCCGCCGTCCAGTGCAGAAAAAAACACAACAGAAACACAAAAACATAGATTCGAGAATTGCAAAGCCCCACCGCTGTGGCATAACGACATTCGGTGAACTTCCTCCCAATCCGTCATACAACTTACAAACACAAAAACATTCGCGTCTCTCATTGACCACATAATTTCCCAATTCATCCCCTCCAAAAATAAAACACCCGTCCATTACAAAACTATTACACAAACACACACAAAACGGCTGCAATATGTCCGAACTGGAAAATGCGGCAACAGCCGGCAAAACTATTGAGGAGTTGCGTTTGGAAGTAGAGCGACTGTCGCGCGAACTAGATCAGGCAGCTAGCGAACGCGCACAATCGGCACAATATGGTCTGTCGTTGTTGGAGGAGAAATTGTCACTTGAGCAGAAGTGTGAAGAGTTGGAGACACTGTACGATCATGCAAAACATGAGTTGGACATAACACAAGAGGTAGGTTTTGAATACTATACTGAATAATAATTGCTTAATAATAAATTTTTGATTTTCTTTATTAAAATGTAAAAAAAAAAATACGCAATTAAATAACCAAAATTGAATATTTATACTCTGAACTTTGCCATGAAGTTTGTAACACCCAGAAGAAAACGTTGGTGACCTTAGGAAATATATCAGCGTGACGAGCTGAGTCGATTTAAGAATGTCTATTTATCTGTCCGTCTGTCCATATATACGCGAACTAGTTCACGTCATTTTCTTCCCAAGAGGCTGCTCATTTGTCGGAACCGGGTGGCCACTTTGCTATATAGCTGTCAAACAAATCGATAAAAATTCAGGTCTTTTATATTTCTGTAGATTATTATAGTTTCGGTGCAACGGAAGTTAACTTTTTTTTTGTTTTAGTTCGTTTATTAAAATATAAATTAGATAATCAAATAAATAACTGAAAAAATAACCGAAACATTGGCTTGTGCTGTATAATTTCCATTGTAATGTTAAACATTCACTTCCAATAATTAGTTTCTTATCGAATGGAGCATCACTTCTTGTGTTTAAGGTTACAAGTACGTTAGCGAAAGTCTAACAATGTTAGCGTTCTCAACGCAGCGCGCTCGGCAACAAGTAAGCACACAGTCGGCTAAAAAAAAAGCTAAATAGATATGCGAAAAAGTTATTTGTATGCTTCACCAACTCACTGAGCTTGGCTCGGCACCACTTACTGGCATGTGATAGTTATTTTTTATGTTCTTTTTGTTTAACCTCGTTCGTTCGGTTTTGTTTTAAATTATTTGATTTTTCTCTCCTCAGCTGTAGGTTCGTAAAACACGTAATCAGCTAAAAATTTGTTGGTTATTTGTTAACTGCTTTCAGTTATTGAGCAAAACCTAACCACATTTATACCTACATTTAAATGGAATTGTACAAATATTGCAATTGCAAAACTTATATAAGAAAACTCTAATAATTTTACTTATCATATCTATGCAAATTAGTCACATGATCAGATTTACGATAAGAGAGAAAGTAGATTTGTGCCAAATCTCGCAGATTTTGGTTAAACGTTGTTCTTCTTGTTGTTGTTGTAGTGGCAGAACTCTGCCGTGTTGACAGTCCTTGGCCATATAAAATCCGTGTCCGTTCCGGTTACGTAGACCCGACTGTGCGCTGGCAAACCGTGTAACTATACAGTAAACCCTCAATTACAAACAGCGCACTACCGTTTCCATACAAAGAATTCCTAAAGACGTCAATGCGTTGTGCAAGTACACAACCACACCCCACACTCTTTACGGTCATAAATTTGATTCGGCTTCTAACTAAATTACAAATTAACTTGCGCCTCTCGCTGCCACCATCCACCACCATCGTCATGTCCTTATTAAGGCCGGTATTGGCAACGTTATTTACCTGCCTGCTACATTGCCTGGCTAGCTAGCCGGATGATGGTTAGTAGATGCAACAACTTGTGCCCGGGGAATGTAATTCAAAAGCAACAAAAACAATGAAATGGCATTCCATTGTATATATAGCACTTGCATTGCAACGTTAGTGGATCTGTTAATTGCTTTTCTACTTCGTTTTAAAATGGCTTGGGGGTGTTGGGGGCGATATGTGCTCAGGGACTACGCCAACGCAGCATTTTTTCACAAGTTTCATTTTTGTTTTAAATATGTGTATATACATACACATATACACAGCCATATGTCGGTTTCTTGTGCTTACAATGCCGTCATGGCCGTTAATAAATGCTGTAATGCTTCCAATTTCGGTTTTGTTGTGCAATTGTAAAATTTTTAAACGTTCATTCTGGTCGACATAATTCCTCCGGTTGAAATTAAACTGCAATTACAAACTAGTTTCATATTTTGTTGCGCTCATATCTCGCACATATCGATTTTCAGACAGTGTGAGTTTATTTTCTTGAGTGATATGAGGTAGTTATTTTAAAATAAATTATATTTAGACCAACATTTTTTTTAGCAAGAAGTGAAATTTCACGATAATAAGGAATTTTTAACGCGAAATCTTCTGTCTGATATAGACTGTATTTTATTGACACCACGCTAACTATCTTCGCAAATAAATTTAATGAATAGAAACCATAAGCGTAATAAATTGGAATTCAATTTTAGCTGTAGCAGCATAAAATACGATTAGCATTTGCTTTGAGCTTCTCCCAACTGTCGATTAAACTTCAACTAGCTGTAAAGCTAATATTGAAAACTAAACAACTCTCCAACATTAACTATATTTATGATTAATTTTTATTTCCTTACAATTCACTGTAACATTCATCGTTCTCTTTCTGCAAGAAATTTCAAAGTAATTAATTCACCACCTAAAGCATGTGATGTGCTCAAATTGCTTTGGGAAATATATCTTTGTGGAGATATACCGTGAATATATAGAGTATTAGCGCATCTAACCCTCAAGGTCTGTATTGTTTCACTATAGACTTGGCACTACGACCGATTTCCTAAACAATATACTTAAGATGCCATTAAATGGCAAATTGGTAATTCGGATATTGTAGCCTATTGTATTCTGGAGGAAACGACTCGTTAACAGTACTTTACGCTAAATGACTTCGATACAATACTTAATTAAACACTAATATCTCTATAACCCATGATATGGTTACCTATGTATGGTATATCTAAATGAGTTATAGATAATCACTACAACAACAAATATCATTCATCCATGAATTGAGTCGTTACCAGAAGGCTTGTAGTCATGTGCTTGGGAACAGCCGCCTCCTAGGAACATCAAGAGAACTTTCCTACAATGCGTGGACGATGGAGCACAATGTTCCCCATTCCAGGCAGTCTCTGACGCGACTAACTTCACACAAGTACTGAACACCATTCACTATGATATGATATGAAGCTATTAACACCAGAGAGCAACAACAACAACACTTCATTTCAACTCTTTTTTTTTTTCTCCCAAATGATTTCAGTATAATCGTTTCTATGCAAGATAAGTCAAGCAAGAAAAAAAGTGTAAAATTGGACCGACATGATGGCGTCAGGTTAGGTTGGCTGTCACGCCATATATAGAACTGCAGGTCCTTTGTAATACCAAGATTCAATTTAATACAATCTGAAGTTTACCTCATACAGAACGTCAACGCTTTTTGCGAAGTTTAATATAGACTTAAAATCTAATTCTGTTACCTCATCTAGTCCCTTGAACTGCAACGCTTCCAGACATCTAAGCCGAGTTCAAGATAAGACTGGACAGAAGCAGCGGAGGTGTTACAGCGCCTCTCTCATGCCTTCCTCCCCGCACTTTCTACATGTGCCAGTGTTAATAATGCACCTAAGGATGGCATTTGATGTCAGTAAGTTGTGACCTGCGACTAGGCCCACAATAATACAGCAGTCGTTTTGAAACCCTGTGAGTAAAAAGTAATCGTGTTTTCCTTCTTCTCTTGCAAACAAGCTAGGCGATCCTGCATGTCCTTAAGGGATTATATGGGTTTCGTCGAACAAAAAACCAACTATTTTCAATAATTTTTTTTTTCATATAAAAAATGAAATGTTTTATTCAAACTTTTTATGATTCCAAAGATACATAATTTAAAAAGGTTTTATTAAATTTTCAAAGCAAAATATTCAAAACTAGCCGATTAAGACGTCATTTCCGGCAGTCCCTCAGAAAAAAGGTGCCTTCGCGTTGACAGCAGAACTTCCTAGAGGATCCTCAAAAATAAAAAAAAATAAAATACTTACTTTAATTAAGACCATGAACTAGGTAATGGATGTAGGAAAAAAAAAACAAAGTGAAATTGTATTCTTTGCAGACGTTTTTACAAAAAAATGCAAATTTGGGTGTAAATTGCTCGAGGTTTTTTTTAAATTGTTGTAATTAAACAAAACAAAATTCTTCGATCAAAACCTTGCAAATTACGTCTCGAAGACATGTATAAAATTTCATTAAAATCGGTTGCGAAGTTCGCGAGAAATCTTGATAACCGATTATATAGCTGACCTCGAGCATGCAACTTTGTCCTGTATCTCCAAACCTATTACGCGGATCAACTTGACAATTTAGCACAATGTTCTAGAAATGTTAAACAATTAAATAAGACAATACAAAAAATATATTTTTTTTTAAGTCGTGAAACACATGTTCCTTGAGTATCGTTTTTAGCGACTTTCGTATTTCCTGTACTAGTTCGGTAGCCAAGCGGATGGCACTCTTCGCAGTCTCATCAGCTATTTCGTTTCCCGGAATACCCTAGTGACCCGAAACGCAGTATATTTGAAATAAAAATCTTTACCTATAAAAAATTTTTTTTTCCTGTGGAAGAATACATTTCATATACCCTTCCATATACTGATAACAATGATGACGTTAAACGATAAATATAAAAAAGCCTTTAAACGTTGCGGCATTTTATAGCTACAGATGGTGTTGAATATTCATTAAAGAACAATGTGTGCTCTCAGTGGCCACACATTTTAATTACAACAAAATATTCAGCACTTTTATATGAAATTTTAGTTGTTTTTTTGTTGTCCGAGATAAGACTATACACACTTTGGTGTGTACTCTTTCTCGAAAGCCAAGCCAGTAAGAATATTTTCTTTGCAATGTAAATAAAGCGACACAGCAAATATAAATACCGAATATGAAAAAGCATCAGTTGAGCCATAGTTTTGTGACCTCAATCTGACAACAGCAGCAAAGTTTAATTAACTAAAGCAAACAAAAGACATTTATTGCACCCAAAACACTTCAGCGACAGGCGACGGCCGACAGTGATGCAGTCAAACGCTGGTGTAGCGACGAAGGCAAGCTTACTGCCAACACCTGCATTAAAAAATTAAGCTTCAAAAATAATATGCATTCTCTCGGGGGAGGGGGGGGGCGGCCATATTAACCAACAATTCCTGCGCCGAGCTGTGAAATGACAAAAACAAACAACAACAACAACTAAAAAGTCGAGCAAATCTGCATATGAATTGCCATTAAAACAACAACAAGTATAACAAAAGTAGCACTGCCTGCCAACACTTTAAGGCCAAAATGGATTGGCTTAATTTCAGCTCGCTGACTAACTACCAACATTGTAGCCGAGCGTCGCACACAAACCCACACAAGTAGCTATGTATGTATGTATGTATATGTATGTGTGCCTCAAAATAAGCATATAAATTTCGTTGGAAAAGCAGTTGGTGGGCGCAGTTGACACCCAACGCACACACAGACACACACATACATACATACGCACATTCACAAACTTGCTGATAAGCGCCGAGGAAAACTTACACAACCCCAAGGAAGAACAATACACGAATTCCATGAATAAATGAGCAAGTTTATAAGGATGCAAGTATTTCCACAAACACACACATACATACATATGTATTATACATTAAACTTTATTGTAAGCATGAAAATGTGTCTTTGTGCGTTTGCCGGCAGTTTGAGCACTGGAACTGTTGCCGTTCTACGGTTTATTTTGCTAGTTTCTGGTAATTTCACTGCGCATACACGCCTACATACACACACATATGCATAATACAACATGTATTATACATACATATGTACACACTCGAATGAATGCCAACTGCAGCGCATGTTTACATATGTATGTTTTTGTTTTGGGTGTGTGCGTGTGTGTGTGTGTGTTTGGGGGCACGTGGTAAAAGATATGGGCATTTAAGGAGCGGCTCGCCGCATAAAACGTCGCCTGAGATTTGCCACATTGGACAAATATTGCTTGTAGTAATTGCAAGGAGGCAGGCAAACATGCTATAACGCACATACAAAACAACACACACGCTCCGCTTGTAACTTGTGTATTCTACAGTACTGTGAAAAATATATGCAACTGTGTTTTGTGGTTTTAAGCGACACGCAAGTGTGACAGCCAAAAAAAAGCTATTTTTGGGATTTAAAAAAAGCGACTGTTTTTTTAAATTGTTGTATTGTTGTTGTAATTTTGAGTAAATTTTTACGTATTATAAGAAAAAATTTATTTATCAAGAAAAACATGAAAATATTTTCGAATAACATGCGATCTCTAACAGCGCTAAAAACAGCTGCTCAACTGCTGCACTGCTGCAGGGATTCCGGGCTTCTCCGTGCATGAAACCAACCAAAAACCCAAGAAAACTCGTTTACTTCTGCTGCACCGAAGCTACATAGAAAATCCTTCACAAATAAAAAGGTTTCCATACAAGCACTTGATTTGGATCGATCAGTTTGTATGACAGCTACATATATGCTATAGTGGTTTGATATCGTTGGTTCCGAAAAATGAGCAGCTTCTTGGAAAGAAAAGAACGTGTGCAAAATTTCAAATCGATATCTCAAAAACTAAATTACTAGTTCGCGTATATACAGTCACAGGTACATACCGACAGATGGACATGGATAAATCGACTCAGCTCGTAATGCTGATCATTTATATACATACCTATATATTATATAGGTTCTCACGTTTCCTTCTGGGTGTTACAAACCTCGTAGAAAACTTAATATACCCTGTTCTCTCTAAAAAATATTGTCCGTACAAGGATCTATGGTTGAAAAAATACCAAAAATTAACAAAATTATGGCTTTTAAATAAAAAAACAAAAAAAAACGTTAACTTCGGTTGCGCCGAAGCTATAATACCCTTCACAAAAACAAAGGCCCCTTACAAGAACTCGATTCCGAACGTTCAATTTGTATGGCAGCTATATGATATAGTGATCTGATCTGACCAATTTCTGTGGAGAATAATTTGTTGCCTTAAGCAATAACTCGTGCCTAATTTCGTGAAGATACCTCGTCGAATAAAAAAATGTTCCATGCAAGCACTTTACTCCGATCGTTCAGTTAATATGGCAGCTATATGCTATAGTCATCCGATCCATACAATTTCTTCGGAGATTAGATTAATGCTTTAAATAATAATACATGCCAAATTTCGTGAAGATACCTCGTCAAATGAAAGAGTTTTCCATACAAGCACTTGATTCCGATTGTTCAGTTTGTATGGCAGCTATATGCTATAGTGGTCCGATATCGGCCGTTCCGACAAATGAGCAGCTTTTTGGGGAGAAAAAGAAGTGTTCAAAATTTCAGATCGATATCTCAAAAACTGAGGGACTAGTTCGCGTATATACAGACGTACAGACGGACGGACAGACGGACAGACAGACAGACGGACATGGCTAAATCAACTCAGCTCGTCACGGTGATCATTTATATATACACTTTATATGGTCTCCGACGTTTCCTTCTGGGTGTTACAAACTTCGTGGCAAAATTAATATACCCTGTTCAGGGTATAAAAAGGGGAATTTTGCACAAAATTTTGGTTGTTTTTGGCCTGCCCAAATTCGTTCATATCACAAAACTGGTGGGCCATTGTTATTATATATATGGTATTGAGTAATCACACAACCAAATTTGAAAAATATAGTTTTGAGAAAAGCGCTTCTTAAGTTAAACAGATGAAGCTGTTCGACTGCGGGCCTATTAATCAGCTGACACTGATTATATAGAAAGAAAAATTAGCTCGATCAAACCGATGAAGGTTTAATTTCTTCAAGTTACTTGTTGCTAAAAATATTCAAGTACTTAATATTAATTATTTTTGTTTGTAGAGAATTGATCTTTCATACCAAATTGATGATTATTTAATCGTTTCCGGAAGAATTTTATCCATAAATGTCTCTGAAAAATAAATTTTTTATAAATTGCTAGTATACAAAATAATTATAAGACAAAAACATTGTTATGAATGAAAACTATTTACTTCTTAATGAAATCTACATGAAAAAAAAACAGACAACTGACCAGAAAATCTTCGAACCAATTGAGAAAAATTCATTTATTTATTTTTCTTAAGTTTTAAACTCCTCCATTGGGCCGTAAGCTGAATTTTTTCTGATCACAGATGCGGAAGAAGACTATTTGAGACCATTTATATCCTCAAAAAATTCACTAATAATAATTTATTCCTTCATGAACAATCTGAATTCATAATAATCAAATTAATATTACTTCATTTACTCATAATTTTGAGTATTGATTATTTTTGAGGCAATTTAAGCTCTCAGCAAAGCCTTGGAAAAGTAATTTTTAAGGTTGAAAATATTTGAGACACAATTTTTGTTGGAAATATGGAAATCCGTCTGTTTAAAACTCAAAAAAATTTAGATAAAATGGCAAAAGCAAATTTAAGCCCTTCGGATCGGAGCGAATTGCTGATTTTTATTATAAGATTAGTTCTTTGAAGCATACTGTAGGAACTAATACTCTTTAGTATAGTTTTTCTATTCAACAAAAAAGTGTTGTCTAATTGTTGTAAATCAATATAAAACTCAGCTGGTGATACTGCTTAGGGTTTAAAATGACAAAAAGTGTCAAGAATTGAGTGACCACAACAGTCATCTGACCCAAATCTTCAAAATTAATTAAAAGTGTTTAATAATTAAACACTAAAAAAAATCACAGTGCCATATTGTGTTGCTTATTTTTTGCACCATACTGTACCTACATGTATTTATAATAAGCGTATAATAAAGTTTGGCACATTGCACGGCGTTCGCCATGCGAAACACACACGCTTGAATTGATGTGGATTGTGCTGGCGTTGGAGAAGTACCAACAGCATACCGGAAGACGGAAGAGAGATGGCATGCAACACAGGAATCTGTTGATAAAGCGCTCGTAAATGTCATATTATGTGTAAGGAATTGCTTACAAAGGCTATGCCGCACACGCAATCAGCTGCTAGGGCAAATATGTGTGACTACTACTAAGTATTTGCCACACCTGCATTTCATTTTGTCGCAAACACTATAATCACTGTGACCTGCTCACTATTTACTGTTCACTGTCAATGTGAGTCAATTGGAAATTCAATTACGTACCGTTGCTATATCTGTTAGAGAAATCGCTCGTATATGCTGGTGACAGTTAACTTGTTGGGGGATAGCGTGGAGTGGAAAAATGCAACGCTGGTATTATGTACTACATTGTACCACTACTTGTATGAGAGAATACATTTTTTTTTGCTTTGCACATATATGAGAGACGAAGAATTTTATTGAATTTTTGAATGCCTCTTCTAAACTTTAGTTAAAAAGTTAAACGGATAAACCTGCCGACCTGTAAGCTTTACTTAACAACTATGAGTTTTCATAGGTTCACTTTCTCTCCGTAATTTTCTGGAAATATTATTCGATAGGTGGCCACACTATTCCAAAAAATTCCTAAATTGAGAACCCTCGACGACAAGTCGGTCGTTGTTTTTAAACGCCTTACGTTTGATACACAATTTGTTACATTTTACACAGTTCCGTTAGTTGGCAACTCTATCAAAATATAACAATATATTTTGCTTAAAAATTCTCGAAAAATTTCAAAGTTTTGCAATATTTTCTTTGTTTTGTTCCAAAAAGTCCCTTTTAGTACTCAAGACCTACATTTAGAGTTCTCAGAAATCGGTCCCACAACTTCAAAAAAAAATTTGAAATTTTGTAATCTTTCTTTCCTTTGTACGAAATCGCGCTCAGGACGCAAATTTAGACTTGTCAGAAAACGGGTCAGAATCCAAAATAAAATATAGTCGAAAGTTTTCCAACTATTTCTAAACTTCAAAAAATGAAACAAAAACTTTCGAAATTTTTAAATTCTTTGTTCGAAAATGCGTCTTTAGTTCTCTGGACCCACATTTACACTTCTCACGCATCGGTTTAGAATCCAAAATAAAGTATAGTCAGAAATGTTCCAGCCAACAGCTGCCATAAAAATATTTTAAATATATATACATTTATAAACCAAATACATATACTCGAAACATAACATATTTTTACCATATATTTCTGTTTTATCTTTACAGGCACTTGCCAAGTTTCAAACTTCACAAAAGGTCACCACAAAAACTGGCATCGAACAGGAGGAGTCCTTGCTCACCGAAACAGCAGCACTGGAAACAACATTGAATAGTAAAATTCTCGACTTGGAAAATGAGACAAAGCAATTGCGTCACGAATTGGAACGAGTACGCAATGAACGTGATCGTATGCTGCAAGAGAATACCGATATTGGACGCGACAAATCAGATAATGAGGCTGAGAAACTGCGCCTTAAGGCCGAGGTGAAGGATCTGAAATTTCGTGAGACACGAATGCTAACGGAATACACAGAACTGGAGGAGGAAAACATATCGCTGCAAAAGCAAGTGTCGAGCTTGAGAAGTTCGCAGGTCAGTTTCAACCGTTTGGGATTTTTAAAGTGGCAGCTTGGTTTGAGATAGTAAAATTCTATAATTTTTTGTTTCTTTACCGTTAGGTGGAGTTTGAAGGTGCCAAACACGAAATACGCCGTTTAACCGAAGAGGTTGAACTGTTGAACTCACAAGTAGATGAGTTAGCAAATCTGAAGAAGATTGCTGAAAAGCAAATGGAAGAAGCTCTAGAGGCTTTGCAGGTGAGTTTTGACGAAATGTCTTACAATTTGATTAATTATAAAATTTTATACACAATTATTATTTAACACTTCTTACACAGTGCGAACGCGAGGCAAAATATGCGCTGAAGAAGGAATTGGATAGTCATTTGAATCGTGAGTCCATGTACAAGATAAGCAACTTAGCCTATCTACGCAGTAATATGGACGACAACATAAGCGCAAACAGCGATGGCGAAGAGGAGAATCTCGCCTTGAAGCGTCTCGAAGCCGATTTGACCACAGAATTGAATGCAACCGACGGCACCAAATGCGATCTTTTCTCAGAGGTGCATTTAAATGAATTGAAGAAGTTAGAAAAACAATTAGAATCGATTGAAAACGAGAAAATGCTACTCACTGCGAATTTACGAGAGGCACAAACTAGTTTGGATAAATCACAAAATGAAATACAGAATTTCATGGCTCGTCTAGCGCTACTAACGGCACATGTCGATGCATTGCTACAGTTGAAGAAACAGCTAGATATAAAGGATGATTCCATGGAAGCGGTGAAACGACGTAATGACGAACAAAATGTACGACAACAACTGCTGGATATACTCTCACAGTATAACAGCTGGTTTACACTATCCTCCAAAGAGATTGACGGTCTCAAGACTGATTTAGTTGAACTGCAAAAGGGTTTCAATTATACCGACGCAATGACAACACTACGCAATGAGGTCACAAATTTGAAAAATAAACTGCTCAGCACCGAGCAGAAATCGCTGGATCTGCAAAGTGATGTGCAGACACTCACAAGTATTTCACAAAATGCCGGACAAAGTTTGGGTTCGGCACGCTCCACTTTGGTGGCCTTAAGTGACGATTTGGCACAGCTATATCATCTCGTTTGCACCGTTAATGGCGAGATACCGACGCGTATTATGCTCGACACGAAGAGCGATGATATGAGGTGTGCTTAAATATTATTTATGGCCTGTAATATAACCTAAAAAATAAATAAATTTTCTTTACAGCTTCGAAAACGATTCGCTTACTGCCATACAGTCGCAATTCAAGTCCGATATTTTCACTTCCCGCTCACACACGATTGAGGATTTGCAAGGTCTTGCTGATTCTGTCGAAATTAAAAAGTATGTCGACACTGTGAGCGATCAGATCAAGCATTTGAAAACCGCTGTCGAGCACACAATTGAGCACAACAAGAATAAAGTGCGTGGCGATGTTTCTGAAGGTAAAAAGTCTTTATATATATATTTTTTTTTTCAATATTTATAAAAATTTATATTTCTTTTTCCAATAGCTGATAAATACAATCGCGAGGAAGTCGAGGAGCTGCAAGAACAAATCGTGCGCCTTAAGGGCTTGCTCTCACTCAAACGCGACCAAATCGCTACATTACGTACTGTCTTGAAGTCCAACAAACAGACCGCCGAGGTGGCGCTCACCAATCTCAAATCGAAATATGAGAATGAAAAGACAGTGGTCAGCGAGACAATGGCCAAATTGCGCAATGAACTGAAGATACTCAAGGAAGACGCAGCGACATTCTCAAGTAAGTGTTGGTTTGGAATAGAGAAAGGAAAAATATGTAGAGCGTTAAATCGGTAGAAAGATTACAGAAACCTCGGAGAACTAGTCCGTCAGCTCTTGTGATCTGAAATTTTGTACATAATCTTTTCTACCCAAGAAGCTGCTAATTTGTCGGAACCGATAATTTCGCACTAATATTACATATAGCTGCCATACAAACTGATCGCTCAAAATCCAGTTCTTATATGAAAAACTTTTTATTTGACGAGATATATTCAAAAAATTTGGCATAAATTATTACCCAATAACAGTAACAGAAGAACCTCCGAACAAATTGTTCAGATCGAATCACTAAAACATATAGCTGCCATACAAACTGATCGCTCATAATCAATTTATTGTATGGAACGCTTTTTTATATGTGAAGGGTATTATTGCTTCGGTGCAACCAAAGTTAACGTGTTTTCTTGTTTTCTGTATCATTAGTGTATTCTTCTCTGTCTTGTAAAAATTTTGTCTACATGTTTTAAAACTCTCCACTTTTTAGGTTTGCGCGCCATGTTCGCCGCTCGTTGCGAGGAATACGTCACACAGGTGGATGACCTAAATCGCAAACTGGAAGCCGCTGAGGAGGAGAAGAAGACTCTAAATCAGCTGTTGCGTTTAGCTGTACAGCAGAAAATTGAATTGACTCAACGTATGGAGGAAATGGAAATCGATCGGTGGGTGCTCATGCGGCGTTAGACTACATTTAGAATGCCGACTTAAACTACCATTAAACAAAAAAAAAAAATTCAAAAAAATATAGTAGAAAATGGCTTACCCCTGAGCCAACTTTTGCTCCCAACTATTTGCTCAGCCCTCGTTTTTATATGAATTAAGTGCGTTTGTCCGCGTTCAAAATTAGTGCTTAGTGCTTGCTGTTCATATAAGTATAATTTTTTCTTATGATAAATCTTTGCCCAAAGCATATTTAATTTTTTCGTTTATCCTGTTTACCTTCACCCCACCAAAATCAACATTAATTTAACCTATACGTTTAAATTTGCGCCCAACTTACGTTTAACTTTGCCAACAACAGTAAACTTTAAGCCGCGTACCCAATTGGTAAGCCGTAAAATATAATTATTGGAAGCTGGTGTGTGGCCAGCTTATATGTGGATTTATTAAGCAATTGGTTATGTCTAATTTATATATGAAGCATGTTTTGTAAATGCCAGTAAAGCGCTTCACAAGCGTCGCACAACAAAATTTTTATTTATACCCGGTTATTGGCCATAAATAAACACTGTAAATTGTGATTTTTTAATAGCAGTTTAGCGAAACGATGAAAAGCGACACTGACACACTTTTGATGCAGTGTTTTAAAATAATACGGTATATTACAGTAAAAGCTGTTCTCGATGCGCTAAACTTTGGAGAGTGGCTAATCGAACAAACAACTGGTATATAATTAGGTACAATAGTATAAACTTTAATATAATTAGAAAAGCAAGCGTTTATACCATTTTGTGAAACAATCATGTATTGAATTGAACTGCATAATTATACCATGTTGATCAGCGTTGACGAAGCCACGTCCGTCTGTCTGAATTTGTCTCTCAGTTTTTGAGATATCGATTTGAAATTTTGCACACGTCCTTTTCTCCGCAACAAGCTGCCCATTTGTCGGCACCGCCGATATCGGACCACTATAACATTAGCTGCTATACAAACTGAACGATCAAAAACATGTCCTTGTATGAAAAACTTTTTTATTGGAGAGAATGTCTTCACGAAGTTTAGTACAAGTTCGTTTACATGTACATATGTATGTTTTTTATTTGTGAAGTCTATTATAGTTTCGCTGCAACCGAAGTTAATGGTTTTATTTTTATTTTTTTTTTTTGTTTTGTTGCTTTTGTTAGTAATTTTTTTTAAATTTTGGGACAAGCGAACTGAGTCTAAATATAGTCTGCAGTGGCGCATCGATGACAGCTAATAATATATTTCCACGGAATATATGTGCTAACAAATTTATGGATGTCTATATGTGTTAAAAAAAATCTTGCTAAAATTTTATTAATACTCGAAGCTTACAGAAACTCAAAATTTTCGAAATTGTAAATTTATGTCAAATATTAAAAATACTTGCATGCACGAACCAAATTATTTACCAAAACTATAAACATAACCTTATATTATAAAACCTTTTACAGCCGCCCGTATATTGCACAACAATAACAATATTAATCTCAACTCTGCACATATATTACACTCATATATTATGTGGGCATATTATTTATCATTATCATTTTTATTATTACTAATATAAATTTCCTTCTCTCTCTCTCTCTCAACCATATAGTGAAACACGTTTCGCGCGTCGTTCGATGCCACCACAACGCGGCAGCAGCGGCAAATCATTCTCGTCACGGCCCTCAACACGTAACCCGGCCGGCAGTAATCAGAATCAATTCTAACATAAAATAAGCGTGCAGCGAAAAATTTTAGCCTTAGTTTATACACTGCTTAAGTTATAAAGTCACTTTTGTGTAAACTGTCACACTGTCACGAGTCACGTGTCACACACGCAAACACACAGTCACTTTTAAGGTATGAAGTAATAAGCTAATAATTTGTCTCGTAATTTAAAAGAGCAAAATATTTTAAGCAAGTGCTGAATTTTAGCAAAAGAAAAAAAACAATTAAGACGGTGTTTAAAAAAAGTAGGAAAGGGGGAAGAGCAATATCGAAAATATTTGTTTGCAAACTTATAACGCTATTAGAATCGCATAAAGCGTTTAGCGATATCGTTTGCTGCTCTTCACATCGTACTAATCCTTCCGCCCGTTTAACGTAAGACACTGCGTTATGTTTAAAAGTGACCGTTAGTCCATAGAATTTGTTTTTATTATTACCTATCTGTTAGTAATACAAGACACTACTATATCGACACTATATTGGGTATTAACATTTATGTTTGTGCACACAGTTATGCCTAACTTGGATTTACAACAAATTTGTTGGTATTTAATTTTGCAAAGAGAATTAGATGAGCTGAGGATGAGGAAAGCTTTAAGTTGTTATGTAATCATATATGTTTGTAAAAATACTGAAAATTTTTCTTTACTTGAAACAATTTTTGTACACCCTACTGTGCATCGTATTAACAACTCTCCAAAAGCTCAAGTCTGCACAACACGTTCTGAAAATCGAGAAAAAAGACATAATATTATATGTAGCTAACTGTAAAAATTTGCTTTTTTGTTATATAACTTTTCACAAAGCTTAAAGCGGCCTTTACTGAGTTTAAATCGAGATATTAAAAGATTTTCGATTCTGAATGTTTATTTAAGTTTAAAGAGGTGCTTTGAGCTTTACACAAAATAAGCTTTGAGCTTAAAAACTATAACTTCAAAAAGAAAAATAATACAAGGTGTGAAAAGATATTCGGAATCTGACACTTCATTTAAGTTTCAAGAGGCTTCTTTTGAGCTTTAAATATTTTTTTTTCAACTGGAGCTTTGAGCTTTGAAGTTTTCTAGAAAAACTTAAAATTTAAAGTATTCTTAACTTGGAATAATTTCGAAAATCGACAAGTTTAAAGAGGAGTGCTTTGTGCTTTAACCAAAATAAGCTACAACTAGCTTAGAGCTTAAAATAATAATAATAACTTCAAAAAGAAAAATAATACAAAGCATGGAAACATTTTCGAAAGCTGACTCTTCATTTAAGTTCCAGGAGGAGATTTACGTTTTAAAGAAACTAATATTTTTTCTTTGAAAATTTCTTGAAGACTTTAAAACTGAAAAAGTTTTCTTGGCAAGTAATAATATCGAAAACATTTTCAAGAATTAAGCTCGGCTTTATACCAGTAGCAACTGAGGCTGAGTGAAAAAATTGAGCTTTGAAAGAAATTCGCTCTATATGAGTCACAAAAAGCTTACTAATACATACAAGAGCGTTTTTACACCAGCAATTCTATGCAAAAGGCAACATTTAATTAGAAAATAAAACAATCGTAGGAAAGAAATAATGTGGAAAAATTATTTTTGACTGTGAAAGTCAGATCCACTTAATTAAAGCAACAAGATTTTATGCTCTAGCAATTTTACTTAATTGTTGGTAGCAGTTTATTGCTTGTTTTACAACAATAAAAGTTCAATACCTAACTCTAACCAACCATATTTGTACCAAAAATCGTACTGAAACATCGTTTGCCAACAAATTTCCCTTTCTCCATTGTTAGATGAAAGTGAAAGCATACTGTGTGCAATTTTGTATTCTCTATTTACACACATTCGCATACGTTGATTTGTGTGTCTAAAATAACTTATAGTATTTTTTTTTTTTTGAAATGGTTTGTTACTTACATTTTCTTATACACTTAAGTATTTTTAAGTCTCCTTTTCTTAAACAAATATATATATATATATACTATTTATATTTACAAATATAAGTTCCATCAACGCAGCTAATAACACACATTTGATTTAAACAAAATTTCATGTTTGAGCAAAACAATTTAAAGTGCACTTTTGGAAATTTTTGAAAGAAAAAAATCGTTTGTTTAAAAACTCAGCTGTACGCAAAAGAACAAAACACAAGAAAAATATTACATTGAAATTTGTATGTTTTTCAAAATTTAAACTTATACACTGTGGCAACATTAAGTTGCCAACAACAAAAAAACAAAAACAAAAACAATTATTATTAGTAAAAAAGAAAAAAATCTTAAAAAGTATTGATTAGTGGAACGAAAATTTTTTCTATGACTAAACGACATTAGAAAAGGGACCTATAAAAAACGCGCCTCATGCGCATGCGTGTCTTTAAGTGAATGCAAATATCGCTTTTTTCCTTTGTTTTACTCACTTAGAATTTTCCATTGTCTCTAAGTATGTGCGTTGTTGCAATTTGCTTTAAAATTCTTTCTAAAATAAAATTTATTTGACATGCGCTTAAATGCACGCGTGGCATGCAGCGTGTGACCAATGAAATATGTTTAATCACCGCATTAGGGTGTTTTAATTCGTAATGTTATTTAAAATTATATAGTTAGCCGAAAAAGACCCAAACTTACCCACACATCACTAATGTGCGCGACCATGCGTGGAAAACGGCAGCATTGCACCTTGTCCGTTGACGTCTTGCGCCTGCGCGTCGCCCAGCGCAAAAGCAGCTGTATTCCTAGCTAAAAGTAAAAGTAAAAAAAAAAAACATTTATTTAAATAAGTAATTTATAAACATAACTATGCTAAAGATATTATTTAATAATAAATAAACAAAAATTTGTTGTAGGCAAAATGCAGATGTTGTATAAATAATCAAATTAGTTGATAAACTGAATAACCAAATAAAAAACTTAAAAAAATACTACTACACAAATGCATAAAAGCAGTATAGTTTATGACGTCCAATGCAGCAGTAATATCAAATTTATTTTATTAATTAACAACAAGTGTTTTATAGAAAGTGTGTGCATATAACGGTTTTTGTGTGTTATATAATATAATATATAACTGTTATGTATATATTTCAACAATTTCATTATTGAGAACATCCACTGTCGTCAGCTAACCTTCCAGCGTCGAAAAGTTCTTGTTTAACAGAATTTGTAACTTTTTGTAGAGTTACCAATATATTTTTATTTTCTATTTTTTTATAAAATGTAGTTAACAAACATTTAGTCGAGCAAAAATTATCTGACATCAATGTAAATTTTCATGCGCAGACTTGAGCTTGTTGGAGAGTTTTTATAAAGTGCAGTCAAAAAATATATTAAATCAAGCAAATATTCTTTAAAACTTAATAAATAACATCAATATAAATTACTATGTGCAAACTTCAGCGTTTTGGAGGATTTTATAGCGTCTGCCGTTTGTAATGAAGTAAATTCAGCTTTTTGGAGAGTTTTTTTTTAAAGAACATGTAGTTAAAAATACAATAAATAATAAATATAAAATATAACATATTTTGTAGAGCCAAAATTCTCTAAAAGTTAAAAGATAACATCAAAGTAAATTTCCATGTGCAGACTTGAGCTTTTTGGAGAGTGTTTAAAATTTTTTGAAGTTTGTAGTGCTTGCTTAAAAGCATTATTAATAATTATTTTGACTTTTTTATTCACATCTATCAGTAAAACAAATATCTACATTACAATGAAGCAAATGCAATTAAAATTTTAAAATGCAGGTTTGAGTTTTTTGGAGAGTTTAATATTTTTTTTTTTAAATTACCTCTTCATTTGTCAAATTCTTTAGTATGGTCGACTTTGAATAACTTTTCTGACTTAAATGTGAGAAGCTTATTTAAAACATTTTAGAACTTTTGTAGAGTTCATTCACTCTTGTAATAGAAAACATTAAAATTTTGATCTAACGTATAAGGTTTTTTCAATCAAAATTGCGTTCTATGTGTAGACTTCAGCTTTTTGGAGAATTTTTTACTTCTGTAGAGTCTTTTGACAGTTGTGTTTAAAAAAATACAAATTTTAGATTTCCATTCATATATACTAGTTCAAAAACTTCCATCACTACGAAATATCTCCAAAGGACATTGCACACATATGTGCAGATATGAGCTTTTTGGAGAGTTTTTAAGTTTATGATGAAAGATTTTTTTTTTTAATTGTTCAGTAGTTACTGCAAAGTGTTTTATTCTGCTCGACTTGGTATATCTAAATAATACTTAATCTTAAGCTTTCTAATTTTTGTAGAGTTTTTTTTCGCCTTTTAACACAAAATATATTTCTTTTGAATTATTCAATCATATTTAAAGTTTAAAATATTAATAATAACGAGCAATAAACTACATTTCAGTCTCTTTGTAGACTCTTTGTAAGTTTTGTAGAGTTAGTTTGTCTCTATAATGGAAAAAGTTATACAATTTGGTTTTTCATCTATATTTACTGTCTGTAAAAAATACCAAATATTTTTAAACAAAACCTGCATGTGTAGACTTGAGCTTTTTGGAGAGTTTTTTTTTTTTTTTTACTTCAGTACTAAAATAATTGTATATTCTGTATTACCAAAAAATATTTACATTCGAAACGAAAATGGTATTTAAACGGGCGAAATTTAACCTCAAAACTAATGCCAACTATCGATTGAATCTTTTTCCTACGCAATTGAATTATAACACACATCACACACTTTCTATAAAACTTGAGCATTTTGAGATATGCACACAATTTTTTTTTTTTGCTTTTCACAAGCGCAAAGAGTAGCAATTTCTTTGCTTAAGGTAATGTAACTTGTTTTTATAAAAAACATAACTTAAATACTTAAAAAAAAATTAAATGCCTAAAAGTATGCAACGCATTTTTAATCACTACAGTAGCGGCTAGTTATTTAAAGCCAACAATTTTATAACTATTGTAGTTGTTAGTAATTTTAGTATAAAACTAAACCTCATTACCTTCCATAAAGCCGTTCGTTCTCAACTTAACTTAACTTGACTTAGCGTAACTTAATAAAAGTGAAACCAAAACATAGCTTACATTTACTTGAAAACCATATTACTTGAATTGCATTGTACTCAAAACACAAATTGTAACTAGCAGCCAGCTATTTGACAGCTAAATGTAAATTTTTTGTTGCTTTTTTGCAAGTTTAATTTTTTTTTTAATTATTTAGTTTGGTTTAGCTTTAGTTGTAATTTGAAAATATATATGACAACGTTAATATTTATATATATTAAATCACCTGACTACATTTTGTACTCATACCGAGCCATTCAATGCAATTACGTTGAAGTAAAACTCCTTAAATAACTAAAACTATAAACTATATACATATATACATACATGCATATGTTTGTTGTAAAATTTTGGTGTTTTCAATACTTATATGTGTTAAGTTATGGAAAATTTAATTAAACCAAAATGAAAAAGCCAAAAATGACTTCCTTTTATAAAAACGATAAAATTTTGACGTTAACTTTATTGTAACCCCCCAGTGTATAAAGTTGAAAATGTTTACAAAACTTGTGCATACATACATACAAGAAGCCAACTTGAAATTTAAAGCAGTAATAATGATTTTATTGTAAGTAAATTTTACCGTCCCTGTTTGAATTCAAAGACACCGAGTTCATTTTCAGTCCAAAACTCGGTGGAAAAAATATTTATGGCAAAACATGAAAGTTGATGTGATATTGCTATCAAACACAAAAAAAATCTCAAAACATACAAAATAAATAAAAATAAGCTACAACAACAACAACAAATATGTATATTCTCCAATATACTTTATTCGAAATAAATATTTAAACTAATCTAAAAAAAAAAACTTGCAAAAAAAAAATATAATAAATTATAAAAAAATAAAAGAAAATAAATAGAAGAAATATTTTCATACTTGCATTAACGAGTATACATACATACAAATGCATAAATGTATATATTATACTTACATACATATATGCATAGAATATGAATATGTTTTTAACGGCGACTCAAAATAATCAATATGAAAAATACAAAAAATTAAAATAAATAAAAAATTATTACATATACATACATACAAACAAACAAGTATATACAATTGTACTTAAAAACCAAATATACATACATACACACAAATATCAAAATATGTCTAATCACAACAAAAACTACAACAAACAAAATTATTTGTCATATGTGACATATTTCAAGGGACCGTTATGATATAAGCAAATTAAAAATAAAAATTAAAAAATATTCATACAAATTTAAAGTATTTAACAAATTATGAATAGTTTTCATACCTAAAAATTAAAAACAAAAAATTTGATTAAAAATTACCAAAAATAAAATTAAATATTTGACAGTTATATAATAGTGACGTTTAAACGAAATTAGCAATTATCACGTGACAACAGCGGTCATGAATATCAATTAATTATACATAACAACAAATACATACATAAATGCATAACTAATAGTGGACCTTTGGTATACAGGGAACACACCTAATGGCAACATTTTAGTTAAAATTAGCATACATACAAACATACATGCATACATAGATGCGTGAGTACCAGTAAATGCATAATATTTAATATAAACTATAATATTTATGTATGGTGGTAGAAATATTTAAGTTATTATGCCAAACAAAAAACTTGACAAAAGAAATAAAAATACAAAAAAGTATTGAAGTGGATTTTTTCTTAATTATATAGTTTTGTTTAATGGCGTTTTTGTATAGTTACTTATTTGGTTGGAGCGTGGCACAGTTGCGATTCATATTATGTTACTGGTTCACAACCGATGACTCAGATTTTTATATGAAATCTTCGCTTTAAAGACTAAGCCATTACATTTTTCGATTTAAAAAAAAAAAAAAGCTGAAGTCAGCCGCTAATATGTATATAATAACATTGTCACGCCAAGTCACATTAAGTTTTTAACTTTGTTGATTTGGGAGTTACTATGGAGCCTAAGCTTAGTTTTAGTCTTCATATTAATACTACGGTATTTAAAAGTGAAAAGTGTTCTTAGTTTCGTTAAACGTTGGGGTCGATTTTAACATTTTTGATGAGATTCTAGGTTAAGTCTTCCTCCATACACTAGTAATTTAAAACTTCGAAGTCTACCCACACTCAATAGGCGTAGAAAAATACTTGACATAATACTCTTTGTGAAATTCCTGAATGGAACAGTTTGCTGTTCTTTTCTCTAGTCTGAAGTTAAATTTGATATCCCGGCTTACGTTTTGAAGTAGTTTAGACCCTTATTGCTAAAATCTTATGAAATTTTGAACTAAATGATGCTTTCCGCATATGTTATGCTTTTAATTCTCATTCCTGCACATTTGGTTTATCTGACTCACTTTTCAAAATTAAAAGACTATATGCTTTCTCTTTATAAAATCGTAAAAATTTGTTATAACGTAATTTACATCTTAGCTGTTGAAATTTTGTTTCTGTAGCTAAGCAGTTTGAGACCTCGGCGTTAAAAACAAACTCTCTTGCCTTTCATGACTGGGCTATTTCCGGAAGTATGCGGATTGCGCCCGTCGCGTCGCTTGAGCGCTAGTAGGATAGTTGTTGGGTTATTATTAATAATCGGTTCGGTATATATAGGCAATCCAATAAGAACTGTTACCTCGACAGTTTTTTACGAAATATTTGGGAAATGTCTTATGCTTCTAAAACAACAAAAGGTACCCAAGGACCTGTGTTTTTTCAAACCCAATCATCCATCAAGTTACTCTCTCTCTTAAAGTCGGACCACAATAGCACAAACAGTCACCGACATTCCTCCCTTCCGTACTTACCGCCCGTATCAAACCAAATTTGTCAAGAGTTATGCCCGTAGTTGTAACGCAGAAATCAGTTGTTCTCTTTTCTTTTCATTTCACCAATGTTGTCATTGTTCTTTTTGTATACAGGATTTTTCACACATTTAGTTTTTTAGTTATAATTTTTCATAATGTAAAAGCTTAAAACCTTGTATTTATAAATGAATGTATTCGACTGTGATTTTGAGTTATTTTAAGAATATTTCAAATATATTCAAGTTTATTTGTTAATTACTACAAAATATCGAGATTGACAACCCTGCGTTGCAAGAAAAAATCCAATTTTCGCGGATATCCTACCGTACGGTCTGTTGAAGCGGACGGTAAAAGCGGTGGTGAATGTTGTTTACATTGCGATCTCATAAGATAGGTCGTATCAGCTGATTCGGTCCACGGTTTTGCGTTGGTGACTGTTTGTGCCATAAGACTCGGCGAAACAGCTCGTTTCCCGAACCATTCGTTACGAGTTATAACTAATTTTAGTTGAGAACTCAAACCAATACTTTTTTAGTAAAGTTAAGGCGTTTTTTCCCAATAATATAGTATACTCGTACATAATTTACTTTTGTAGTAAATAACTTTTTTTACTTCATAACTAAAATAAGTATATCATATAATAGCAGTATTTATTTGCAGTACAAATTAAATATTACATTCATTTAGGGTGTTATTCAATAATCGCGATAATCATATCTAAACAACTCGACAGTCGGGTCTTCGCAAACCGGGGTATTTATTCTGTCATAAGTTGTCAACTAGGCTGCGTTCTTCAAAAAAGTTTACGAAAGTTTTACATAAGACATTAAAATAGTTTTGACCCGTTACTTTTTATACTCTGAACAGGGTATATTAATGATCCGGTAATCAGCTGAGTCGATTTTGCCATGTCCACCCGTCTGTAACATATATACGTGAAATAGTCCCACAGTTTTTGAGATATGGATTGAAATTTTGCACACGTCCTTTTCTCTCCAAAAAGCTGCTTATCTATTGGAACCGCCGATATCGGACTACCATAAGATATAGCTAACATGCAATCTGATCGATGAAACTTTAGTCCTTGTATGACAATTTTTTTAATTGAAATTTTATCTGCATGAAATTTTGAACAGATAATTGTCTAAGACAGCTTCGAACAAATTGTTCAGTTCTGAAAACTATAACTTATAGCTGCCATACAGGGTGATCGTTTAAAATCAAGTTCTTAATATTCGGCATGGATTATTGTCAAAAACCACTCTATGATCCCCGAGCAAATTGTTACGATCTGACCACTAAAGCATATAGCTGTCATTCAACGGATCTAATACCCTTTTCTGCTTTAAAATATGCTCTTGTGAAGCGTATTATTGCTACGGCTCAGCCATAGTTAATGTTTTTCATGACGTCATTAAACAAAGAACTGGAAGGCTTTATTTACAATTACCATGAAAGTTTGACAGTTCGTTTCATTATGACGGTTTCGAAACACAATCTTGTCTCTATCAGTCCTGGTGGATAAGTAAAATCTCGAAATGTTTGAAACGCTTTAAATTTATATAAATTGCTAGAGAATTTAATGTTCGGCTACACACGAAATTAGTTTTCGTAAATGTTTTGTTTTTATTTTTTTAATGAATTAGGGAAATGGTTACAAATGAATTATTCGAAGTATTGCCTCCTTCTTCTCATCTTTCTGGTAAAGTTCGAATAACATTATGGTAAAACTGTTCATATTGTGATGCCATCCAAGAATCAAGCCATTTTTCGATGTTTTCTTGTGAGTGGAACTGCGAGATAGAAAATGTGCGCACCGGATAATTGTAATAGGTAAAGTATTGGCCATTCACAGCAATGATAAAGGCCTTGTCGCCGATACCGAAAGCGATCTTGAAGAGCTTACCACGCTGAAATGGGAATTCGCCGTCGGTTTCCTCATCATCGGAAGAAAAGCTGTATATTGGTGATGTAAAAAATGTTGTTGATAAAAAATTGCGTTGAAATTAAAAAAAATTATAAAATATTTAATGTATTTTAGTTTAAATTATTAAAAAAATAATTATTAAACATCTTTTAAGTTTTACCTATTATCAGAACGCTCATAAGTTCGCGACACTGTAGTGGTCTCAAAGTTGACATGAAACTTGAGCACAACCCGTCCGGTGTCGTTACATTGAAAACATATGGAGAATGCGGTGTTCGGTGGACCTTTAGCAATGCACTCCATGGCAACAACGGTACCTGGTTTTATTTGAAATTATATTTTCTCTATATTCTCAACTTTTTACTTACTAATTTAAAACTTTGTTCGCCCTTAACCTATCTTCTTAGCTTACCAACTTCGTATTTCTTCGGCACATCACTCTGAAAGGCGATTTTCTCTGCGCAAATCAAGCTTCTCGGAAACACAAGTGGAAACAGCATGCGCTGGTGGAATTGTGTAATTTTCTCAAAATCACCATAAACCATTAGGAAATTTATTGGTTTGGGAAATTTTACAAATTCAAAGGCGCCGTAGAGATTGTCGTTTATGTAGATTTCGAAACATTTTTGTAGCACAGCTATGCGGAATGTAAATGTTTGACCTGAAAGTAAAGGCAAGTGATTTTTTTATTGAACTTCATTGCCTTATTTTCCTGACATGGTTTTTGCGATCCTAAAGGTATGCAATAATTAAATGTTATATTACAAGTAAAAGCTGTATAAATCGAAATATTTATGATTTAATTAATCCAAATTTATCTAAGCTTAGTATTCACATAAGAAATTATTAATTGACCTGACATAGAAATAATTGATTTGTTCACAGCACTATCAAAATCTAGATTTTTGTTTTAGCGGCTACCACAAAAGTTGAGTAAAAGAGCTGTTTCGGTACGGAGGAGTGGTGTTAGACGATTGGGTTTGAAAAGAATGCAAGTTGTTGTTGAAAATATCTAAGTATAAAAGCCAGTGGTCTGGGTTATGCTACCGCGGTGACAGCCCTTTTTGTATTGTATAATTGTTGTCAATATAGCTGTGAACTTTTGAAGAAACAACTCATTTGTCTTTGGCAGTTTTTACTTAAATTATATTAAATTGGAATTTCTATAGATAAATTATATATTTTATAATGGTTTTGCAGCAGACGGTGGCTTAAGTGATAGATTTTCGCAGAAATCATGTTAAAATTTGCATAGAAAGTTTCAATACAAAGCTTGAGCGCATAAACACTAAGTCGAGTTAAGTTGGTTTGCCAAATTTTCTCCCCTATGTCTTTGTGTCTGTACTATATATATTTATTTCAACTTACCAGGCATCAACGGATTTTTTGGTCCATCTGCTTTCCAGTTCTTCGATATCTCTTCCTGCTGCCAACCCTCACCCGGCATGAACATGCTACGTATTATTTGATTCTCTCTGAAATTCGCCTCAATCTTCAAATAAACCGTTTCGCTCTCATTTTGACCCTTTATATTATCGGTTAGATCCAAGCAAATTCTAAAAATAATAATATTTTGGAGTGCGGTAATCCATACAACATTTATATTTACTTATTTGGATTCGGTTTCACTTTCCCGCTCACTATGAGCACATGCCCGAACGGCACGTCCGTCAGCAATTTGCCTTTCCAAGTGTTCATTTCACTTTGACTGCCACAAAATGAATGATTCCAATCGTCTAACGACGACATGCAACCGTTGTTAACGCGTTAACTGGCAACTGCCACTTGCTTCGGTTGACAATAAATTTATTTAAATTTTATACGTTGGAATTTTCGTAAGTTTGGTATTCATATATTTTTAGACACACTTTTACTATATAACGGTATGCAACAACTAATTATATTTGTATAACAATTTGCAACACAAGTGCGTGCAACTCGGAATCGAAAGGATTTGTAAGTCGCCTGCCTGACGTGTGGCAGCCGAGTGAATTAAATGCGCAAACGAATTGTTGTGAGCGCCTATTAAAATGGAGTGACTGATGTTTTTCGTTTGTTCCGATTATTATTATTTGTTACGAATTTGTATGCAATTGTGTGCCGTGTCGCCTCGAAACTCTTTTCCAACAACTGTCATGGACTTACATATGCATATGTACTTATTGTCCTCGTGTGTTCAGCAGCTTTTTGTTTGCTTGTTATTTATATTAAAATACAATGATTTCCCCAAGAACTCTCGCTGTCATACAAACGACATTCATACTTATATATATATATATATATACATACCGTTACATCTACGCCCCACACTTTCAGTTTTCTATCAACAAACTTTAATGCACGTGCGCTTATATAGGGTGTTGTTTTTGGAAATATACAATTGCTTACAGTGATAGGTAGGTTCGGTTAGGCTTGGAGGCTAATAAGCCACGCCTAGACCAGTTTTGGTTCTTTGCGCTACCAGGTGGAGTTCCGTTACGAAGTCCCTAAGAAGTAGAGATCCATTAGCATGCCTGCATTTGACGTGAATTTCAACAGCCTCTGCGGCCTCACTAACGATATCTCTTCTAGTATCTCATACCGTGGAGCCCCCAAATGCTTAAAGCGTAGTCTTGCCAATGCGGGACAAGTGCATCAAAGATGCTTTATTGTTTCCCTGATGCTTTGCTCTTTTCATTTCCTGCAGTCTTCTCTATTTGTCAGCTTCATTCTGCAGGCGTGTGCTGCCAACAGACTGTGACCAGTGAGTATTTCAATTATGTTGCTATAGTCGCTTCGATCGAGTGCCAGTAGGAACTTTGTATATTTCCGATCTAACATTTTACACATGGCTTTTTGCATGGGGTTTTGATTTTCCTTGCCATGCTGTTGTTCAGATCGTCGTATAGACAATGCATGGAGTTTTCAATGTTAATCACGTTTTCGGGTGACAGCGGTACATCACTCTTGGCAATCTCGTCCACTATCTCATTGCCCTCGATGCCTTTGACACCTGGCACCTAGTTGAAGTGAAGTGCCTCCAGCCTGCTTTCCAAGACACTTCTGGTCTCAGCAGATTTCCCAATAGCAAATACCTCTGTTTGAATTATACTGCAGTTGTTCGACAGCTTAAAAAGGTTGTCTTATGCATTACTTTTGAAAATATATCGCAACAACTTCGCCCTCTGTGATAGCTATAAACCAGCTGTCAAAATAAACATATGTGGTGGACTTCTAGTCTTAGTTTACTGAAACTGAAATTGAAACTGACAGAACACGGTTTAAATATCATGAAAATTAAAGTTAAAGCTAAACTACCGTTTAGTGGCACACCTAGGGTGGAATTAAAAAAATCGATTTTTTCATATTTTTGATAATAATATTTTAAATCGATATCTCAAATAGTTTTTGAGTTACAGCCTTTTAAAATAAAACCACTACTTTGTCAATTTTTGTTTGATCATCCTATTCAGATATCGAATGCGTTATTGGTCCCAACTTTTACAAAAACTTGATGAATGTTTGATTCTCTACTCAATATTTGTTATCTTAGTATTAAAAAGTTCCAACAGAACGTTGTAACAAGACATATCGAGCCTTAAGTCATTAAATTATCGGAACGAAACTTAAAAATTGCCCATCTAGACCTTATGTTGTGCCTCTGTTAAATAAATTTTGTATAGGTATCGTCTATTCGGATAAACCAGCTGTGATTTAACTTTTGGGAGTCAACATTGGGTAAATAATTACCGATATAAAGTCAGTTATGTTGTGGACTAAACAAATTAAATTCAAATGATGCAGTCGCTGTTGCCACGTGCTTGACATTCTGAGACTAAATAATTTAATTTTTATTTGTTGTACTTTAAACAGAAATTTCTTTATCAATAAAAAAAGCACTCTTTACGCCAAATTCCGTTATGTTGGCAGTTACAGTATTGGAACTTAACACCATAACATTTAGCTGCCATAAAAACTGAATGATCGAAATTAAGTCCTTGTATGGACAATTATTGTACAATATTTGAGAAAATAGTTTCACGAAATTTTGCATGGATTATTATCCAAAGCAGCGGTGCAATCTCCGAAAAAATTGTTTTTAAATAAAGATCCTTCACCTCAAAACATAGCACCCTTTATTTATTTATTATGTACTTATAGTTTTCCAATTTGTTGTTGCTCACTTTATAGCTGCCGCTGTTGCGCTATTTGCTCTTGCGTGCCTTTGAAAACGTGAAATTGATTCCCTGTCTGAAGTTTTGCATTTTCACCTCTTTCATAACAGAACTTTCTATAATTCATGTATTCGTGTGTGTTTGAAAAAAGTTTGCAAATCTTCGCAAATGTTTTCGTATTTAAGGCCAACAAGCGTTGTTGTTTTATTTTTTGTATTAACCGCCACTTCACCTCCAAGTTTACCGCCATCGCATGCCACCTAACTGTTTGAGTGCTTGCGCAACTATCAAGGATTCGCCTTTGTAGGCGTGGAAGTAGTCACAGCTTATGCATTAGTTCAGTTGTTACCCCACTTTTGTGTCAGTTTCGGGAAAGTTCACTTTCATGTCATTGCCTTTCAAACCAAATATATACTACAATATGTATTATGATGTACGATTAGTCAATAGTTTCCCGAAATTATCATACGGATAACATAAAATATTTAGAAAATATAAAAGTACTAACAATTTTATTATATATCCAAAATTTAAGAAAAAGTCGGTGAAAATGGATATCGGGCGATGTTGTCTCATTATTTCTGCCCGAAAATGCTTGAAAAAATGGTTTGGTTTTCCATGTTAGAATAAATAGAATAGAATGCGCTGCGTACAATATTCGGTCGACATAATCGCCCAGTAGAGTCAATAATCCGAACAACCTCGGATCGGTTTCGCACGACGTTTGCTCTAGTAGATAATGCGCATCCTTAGAGACGCCGAAGACACTATTGCTGCTGTGAGGTAGAGTATCGTTCATGCCTCAATTGAGTCCATTCGCCATCGCGCGCTATAATTGGAGCTGTACCCATCTACTTTACAAGGCAATTTTGCTCAGCGTTGAAACTCACTCTTGGTTGAATGGGTATGTTAATAATTAAATTGCTGCCTTTGGAGCGATGTTCATCCACAAGCTTTTATTGAGACGCCGTTACATTATCAAAAAGTTACTGTTTGGTATACTCTACGGGCAGTGGGAAACATTGGTCCATATTTCTTCAAAAATGAAGCCGGTCATTATGCTACAGTCAGTGAGGAACGCTATAGAGCCATTATTAATAACTTTCTCGAGCCAGAATTGGAGCATGTTGATGTAAAAGAGCTTTGATTCCAACAAAACGGCACTACATGCCATACAGCCAACGACACAATCAATTTATTGGCGGAAACTTTTGGTGAGCGTATTTTCTCGTATCGTGGGCCTATGGCGTGGCCTCCAAGATCGTGCGATTCAGTACCATTGGACAATTTTTGTGGAATTATGTAAAGTCACTTGTCTACGAAGATAAAACCGAAACGATTGACTCATAACACAATTGCTGCAAAAAGTGATTGAAAATTGGGCCTCTCGGCTGGAATATATTTGAGCCAGCCGCGACAAAAGCGCTGCCCGAAAACATTTTTAAAACATAATGGTAAATCTTTATCTTAGTAATAAAGCAAAATTATTGGACATAACATTAAATTATTTGCGTTTTATTTCTTCTTCAAAACCACATGTTTAAAAAAAACAACATTTCCATAGTCAAGTAGTTTTGGAGACTTTATAGTGTTCAAAATATTTCTTTAATCTGCTTTTCTTGTTAAAGCAGCCATATATGTATATAAGAATGAAAAACTTAAATTTTTTCTAAAAAATCAATAGAAAATCTGCCTGTACTTCCATATCGTGCAAATGCTTTTTTCGTACACGAAATCAATTATTACAAGCATTTGCTTCAACGTCGCAAAAATTTACATAATATTTTTTGTGATTGTTGTTTTTGGTAAATTAATTTGCAATAAATGTTGCTCGTCAATTCTTGTTAATCATCAGTAATTCATTGAACATTAATATTAGTTAGTATAGGCATACTCGTATATGGTATACAAGTGTCTTGTTACAAGTTGATCGTCCTTGAACAAATTTCGAAAGTTACGACACAGTTTTACGCACTTATTTGAATAATATTCTGCATAATAATAAATGCAGTGGTGGCAAGTAGGTTTTTGGTGAAGTTAGTTTGATGTTGGAATATATTTTTAGCTACGCAAGCGTCAGAGAATCGGGAACTATTATTATTTATAAAAAGAGTGTTGTTAGAAAATAATATTTTTTGTAGTTTTTCCATTACATGTTAATCGATACACTAGTTTTTAGTGGTGTAATAACAGTTCTACATTTTATAATACTTCATTAAGATAAACAAGGAAAAGTCCGGTTAAAAATTTTGTGCTCGAAGTATATAGAATAAGTTAGTTGAGTACAAAGTTTCAACGAAGCCAGAAAGGACTTCATATATACACAATTTTTCCACACAAGAATTTAACTTTTGATCGTTCACTTTGCATGGCAGCAGACTACAGACTGACAAATGAGCAGCTTTTTGGCAAGACGGACATGACTAAATCGACTCATCTCGTCACGCTGTTCATTTATAATTTATATAGGTATAATTTATAGGTTCTCACGTTTCCCTGTGGTTGTTACAAACTTCGTAGCAAACTTAATATACCCTAGTCTGGATATAAAAATTTGTTGAATAATTAATTTGCCATTTTACACATTTTACATTTACTAACAAAGAATGCCGAAATGGATTATCAAAATTAGTATAATAGAATGTATGTTATGGACCTGCTACTAATATCTTCAAAAGTGGGTTCTTAGAATGAGCGACTGAGAAATCAGTAGAGACATTCCCGTGAAAATATTTTCAGTTTGATAGAAACTACTATTATATGACTATTAACCAACCCTGTATTATGTAGAAGATAATGATGAAAAAAGGCACTGGATCTCTTAAAAATCGAATCGATAAATATATTCCACCTCCATTGCCGTCATTTAGCTCTTCTTCGTGAAAATAGAAAGGCATTAACTTTAAAGGATCACTGTAGACGTCACATTTTTGTAAATGTATTATAGATGATAGAGACGTATTATAGATAGATAAAGATAAGCATGAAAAAAGTGTATAACAAAAGTGAAAAACATAGTCATCACGTAATTTCATTCCAGCACTCTGAGCGAACTGATTTTTGTCAAATATTTCTGAAAATAAGTGATAGCACTTGTTAAACAATAGTTTTAAATTAGTTCAAATTATATTTTTGACGCTATTGAAGTCAATAATCGCCTTACTTCGAAATCAGAATGCCCTGAATATTAGATATCTAATGTATGATACATATATGGCATATATCTTTCCCAGAAGATGATATACTAGATTGCAGCTATGCACACACAAATGTATATATGAGGCGAGTAAATGTAGCATACATATGTATATACATACTTGTACATATATCTACAGTTATATGCATTGGTGTATTGGTGTGACATAACATCTAAGTAATTACAAATTCAACAATCATGTTATTTTGACTTTAATTTCCGGTTGTCACTCAAATTGATAAGTTTTTCCGAGCTTTCTTTCTTAACATCTATATAGTGGCCCTGGTGCGCTTTTGTACAAACTTACATACATCTATATGCTTTTCTTAAGTAGTTTGCAATACTTACTATGTCGCCTAATGTACATATATAGTATGTAAGTATGTGTGTTTAACCAACTATATATATTTCGAAAGAGTTATCAGCATGTACATTTCTTTTGAATAAACACTATGCCACATAGCAATGCGGTAGAATTGTGGCGTGCAATTTATTTGAACTAATAAAGTGGGCATTCAATGTCAGGCAATCGGGAAGAAAAGTGTGCACAACAAACGAAAATACCCTTTTTGGTAAAAAATATGCTGAATTTGTTTGCTAGTTTGCTAGTGAGCCAATATTACTACATAACATAAGTAGATAGATATAACGCTCTTGTAGACTAAGTACTTCAAAACTAGATATATATTGTTTTGTTAGTAAATGCTTAAAAAAACGCAAACTTCGACTGCACCGAAGCTATAACACCCTACATAGGTGCATTTGTTATATTACATATTATAATTTTGAGAAGATATCTTGATAAATATAAAAGTTTTCCCTACAAGGACTTGAGTTTGACAGGTCAGTTTGTATTATAGTTATATGCTTTAGGGTTTCGATATCGGTGGTTTCGACCAATGTGTAGCTTTTAGGTGAGAAAAGGACATGTGAGAAATTTTAGATCGATATCTCGAAAACTGGAAGACTAGTTTGCTTATATACTGACGGACAGACGGACGGACACAAATAAATTTATTCGGCTTGTCCCGTTGATCATTTATATATGTATATACCATACTTTA